GACGGCACATAACAACAACAACAATATATACCATATAAATATCAATATTAATATTACTTACTAGATATTATATATAATTGTTGTTTACCATAGAGTCAGAACCAACATATAACAGACCCTCTCATGGATTTTCAGAGGCAGTTAATTGCACAGGAGGAGATTGTCTGTCCTTCTCTCGTGGAGCAGCTGGTGGCCTGAAAACACATGCCTTCATGATTGCAGTGCAGTTTGCTGCCACTATATATATATGTGGGTGTGTGTGCATGTATGTGTGTGTATAATTGTTTATATATATATATATATAAAATAAATCAAGAGGCCGGCAGAGAATGGGACCTGACTATTGCTAGGAAGAAGAGACTGAAGTGGCATACAACCTTTGGACCCAGGCTCCTGTAATAGGAACTTCCTAGACCAAAAAGACAACTGTAACATGGAAGACAAAGATTCCAGTACAGCAGCAGCAAGGGTGTAAGATAGTTGTAATGGGGCTTGCCAGCTCTTGGAGTTAAAGTTTGTAACACTTGTCTGAGAAGAAGCTGAGCAGAGTAGTAACAGAGTAAGAAGAATTTGCCCTGATTACACACAGTATTCTGAGTTGTTCCTGTTGCTTCTAAGTTGATCTTGATCCTGAGCTATATCCAGTTACATCCTTAATAAACTCTGTAATTCTAAGTATGCTCTCTGAGTTCTATTTGGCCATTGTAATGAATTGTCAAACCAAATAGAGAAGTAGAGGGTGCCACTGGATGAATACTTAGTGTCAGGATTGGTTTAAAAGCTCAGAAACAGGAGGTGTATCTGAAATCTGCTTCATAGATCTGCCTTGGGTTTACATCACTGAAAATTATTCTCTTGTGAAGTTAGGTGATGGCATCCCCACATCATTTATAGGGAAACAATGTCTCTGATGGTTCAAATCCACTAACAGCTCCAAGAAAGAAATGTGGACAATTTCCAGTGCAATTTATAATGTCCAAAATCTGCTGCAGGCTGAACTGTGAGTTTAGTTGATTCTCATTTGAGAAGTGAGTAAGTGACTGAATCCTGGCAACAGGGTTCTGACTTCCCTTTGATGATTCTTTCAAGCCAGCATCATTGGTCCTACTCCTTCATCCATCAGCTGAGAACATGGTAAAAAATAACTCACCACATGACCCTAAAACCTCAACTTTCTGATAAGAACTGAGCCCTACCCCCAGACATGTGCCAGGAAAGGAGGCATGCATGGTTTCTCTGCTCCCATAATCAACAAGTTCAGAACTGTCTAGGTTTGCATATCCTCTGAGCCCTAGATCTCTAGATAATCCAGATTCCCCTGTGCTTCTACCCAAGGTAATCACATCGCGCATAAAGAGAGCAGGCTTCTACTGCTTGAAGTGGTTCCAGAGGCTCAGAGAATGACTACTGGCCTCTTGCTAGACACTCCCTCATTTAAGGAAAACAAAATAAAAAAATTCTTAAGCTTCCCCTCATCTTCCCCTTAAATTGATATCCCTCCTAAGACATAGTCCTATGGTCTGTTGTAAATCACAAATTTCTAAGGAAGACAAACACTCTGGCCATCAATTAATCATTTGAGTCCAGGTCACCAGATTTTGCTCTTCAGAGCAGAATCTATTATAAGGAGTGGCAGGGCATCAGTGGTCTGGATACCTAGTTCAACTAGGTAAAAAACAAACCAAAAAAACCCCAACTCTGCCGATTTTATGACTTGCTATGGTCAACAGAGTTGTCAAGAGTTGTTCTTCATCAACCTAACGTCACTCCTGACTTATCTGACTGTCACTCTTACCACCCTTCAACTGTGCCCAAGCTCAGGCCCAATAAATGCAGCAGCATCCCAAGCAAGGAAAGTAGCCTGCCTCTGTTCTAGGTGCACCCCACTCTCTAGAAGTCAGGGTGCTGACTTACCCAGGAATAACAGAGCTGTCCACAGTAGGATGTGGCCCAAAGGGTAGGAGGATGTGCAAACAGCTCCGTCAGCCTCACCAGCAGAGAGGCACAGGCGTGAGAGGATTCCCATTTTTCCCGCAGGAGGCTGGCAGCAGCTCAGCAAGCAAAGTCTCCTCTCAAAGTCTGACAGATTTCACCCTCAAGAGGACACACGAATTCTGGAATTCAAAAGAGGAACTGAGAAGAAATGTTATGTTTTATCACAGGCTCCTCCCCTTCCACCCTCTTTCCTTTCAACTGTTCTCTCGGAGAATTCAGCGCTTCCCAGAATTAATCTGGTTAAGTCCAACTCCAAATTCACGGAAATTTCAGAAACTGGAAAACAAATGACTCCTTTTACTCTGGGGCCACAAGATGGGCTGGGGTTTTGGTAAAAAAATGGTCCCTATCCTTAGCTCAGAGTGCTACCCTCTCTACAAAAGGCAATGGAGGGGAATTTGCAGGCATTACAGTTCTATTTAGAAAACGAATCACTAAAATCTGGGCTCTTTCTGAAACTGAGCATCATAAGAGCTTGAATCAAGTTCCTTCATTTGGTTTTCTCTATCAAGATAACCCTCACACATTTTTGGGTTGTGGAGCAAAGACAGGTGTGTCAGGGGGACTGCAAGATGTCCACACTCACCATCATCATTCTGCTTCTTCATTCATTACCTAGTAAACACTTGACCCCACACCCTCATTCCTTTACCTTGGTCATTTTTGTCACACTCATCCCATCATGATGGCATCATGAAAGAGCACATAGTTGTCCAGTTGGAAAGAGTTGGAATGTCAGTGACTTCTCACAGCTTCTGGTTCCTCAGCTGTGAAAACGAAGTTGGTTATGCTTACCAAACAGCTTTAGGGACAAAACGTCTCAATTTCTTGCACAACTAATGTTTGGGACCAGACGATTCTTGCTGTGGGAGCTGTCCTGGGCATTGTAGGAATTTAGCAATATCTCTGGCCTCTACCCACCAGATGCCAGTAGCATCTTTCCAGGCAAACAAAAATGTTTAGAAAATTAAAAGAGAATGTGTATGCTATAAAAGTATCTCATGCTTTTGTAGATGTCCAATGAATGACAGTTTCCTAAGAAGATGTGATGTTCAAAGATCTTGCCTTGCCTTGCCCTTGCTCTTGCCCTTGCCTTTGGCCTTGCCCCTGTCTTTGGCCTTGCCTTGCCTTTGTTAAGTGCCATCTAGTTGTACATGACCCATTGCGACCCTAGGAACCAAAGTCCTGAGCACTGTTCATAGGGTTTCCAGAGGCAAGCTATTTTGGAAGTGGATGCCGCTCCTGCTTCCAAGCTTGTTTTTATCAGGGAGCTCCACCAAACACTGTCCACTGTGGGTAACCATTATCGCATTTGGCACATCAGTGTCACAGTGTTCAGCTTCACAGCAACTACAAGTTACCTCTGTACAGCAATGCACAGACCAGTACTATATCACTTAGAAGAATATTTGAACAAAAAATCCCCTTAACCCAGACCACCCTACTGCTCACCACTCCCAGCCAGCAGCTTCTGTAGAACCAGCGCCTGTAGATGACTTTCAAACTGGTTAAGGGTCATGCCTCTTACCCTCATGGATTTTTCAATAGAAGGCCTTATCACAAATGTCTCACTTTTTATGGAACCATCAAGGTATCTGGGCTGACAAGAAGCAATCAAGTCCTAAGATTTTAAAAACGTTGAAGTGATGGCCAGTACCAGACAAAACAACTGAAACATTTTTAGTTGATGGGCTATCTATAAACCTACTACTGATCAAAATCTTTGTTTCCTCTTTCTATATATTGGACACTTAGTGGGATGGGATTGAGAAATCCATTCACAATAGCCTCTGGTGCTGCTGGTTTTCTTCCTAGTTTACATTGCTAGTAAGACCTCTCTCTCTCTCTCTCTCTGAAACCTAAGGTGACCATAGGATTAGAATAATTTATTGCATGAGTTAGAATCTTGGCTTCAGAATAACTCACCTTGGATGTTAGGTGGTGTGGTGTCAAGAGTTCAGCTTTCAAAACGCCTTTTTTATCCCTTGATAGCCTGAGACTCCACCCTGCTAAAAAGCATGGCCTAAATAGCCACATTCAGTTCTTCTGGGTCATGGTCTATGTCCCAGTAGTCTGATAAAAGCCAGTGCTCTAAGAAGACTGCACCTGGGACTCTGGGTGAACCTACTCTCTTTCTGTTTGCCTAGGACAACATCCTAACCTGAGCCAGGTGCTCTTCCTGCTCTGCATCATGTTTGTCAAGCCAATATCATCAACAGTTGAGTGAGCTTCCAGAACCCTTCCAGCAAATTGTGAGGCAAAGAAGAAAGGAGGTAAGTTTAGGCCTGGGGTTGGGCTTTGGAGAGAAGGAACTGTTAACATTGAAAATGATGGAGTGGCACAATAAATGAAATGTTTGGGACTTTTTTTAACCTGGGGTTTTGGGGTAAGTTTGGTACTAATTACTGGCATGGTTAGAAATCTAAATTAAAGAGGTGAAAACAAAGATAGTTTTCTTTTTTCAGCCCAGTCAACACATCTAATTAACGAGAGATGATTGAAGGAAGGCCTTTGAGCTCCTCACCTATAGTATAAAATGGGTGTGTATAGAAGGATTAATTACTCAGAATTATTTTCAGAAACGCTTTCTCTCTCTCTTTCCTATTCTCTTACTATCTTCCTTTCTTTTCATCCTCTATTCTTTCTATGCTCTTTTTTCCTATCCTCCTTTCTTTCTATCCTCTTTTTTAACACGTTGTCCCAAATGTGTTTCTAAGCACGGTCATCAATTTAAAAAGTGGGCGGCAACGTGTAACCTCGTTTCTTTTTTCTTTTATTGTTTTAAAAATAATTTTAATGAGCATTTACAGAGACTTTGGACTTTTATTATTTTTTGTGTGTTTACCTTCAAATCTGATCTGATCGGTACAGGAGGAGATTGTCCCTCTGTCTCCAGGAGAGCATCTGGTGGATTTGAACAGTATACCTCTGGGATTGCAGTGCAGCTTCTTGCCACTAGGCCACCAGAGCTCCCTGTAACCTCATTTCTTACTGTCCATCTTTTTTTCTATCCTCCTTTCTTTCAACCCTCATTTTTACTATCTTTCTCCTCCTTTTTTCTACCTCCTTTCTTTATATCCTCCTTTTTTACTATCATCCTTTCTTTCTAACCTCCTTTTTGACTATTACCCTTTTTTCTAGCCTCTTTTTATTATCCATTTTCTTTCTATCCTCCTTTTTCACTATCCCACTTTCTTTCTATCCCCCTTTTCCCTATCCTCCTTTCTTACTATCCCTTTTCCTACCCTCCCTTTCTACTATCACTCTTTCTTTCTATCCTAATTTTTACTATCACCCTTTCCTTCTATCCTCCTTTTTACTATCCTCCTTTCTTTCTATCCTCCTCTCTCTCTATCCTACTTCAAATCTATGTTTCTTTCCCTCTGTTCTCCATTCTTGCTATCCTTCTTCCTTTCTTTCCTTCTTTCTTTTCAACCTCTATTCTTTCTAGGCTCCTTTTTTTCTATCCTTTCTTTCTATTCTATTGTTATCTTCCTTTTTACTCCTCATTTATTACAATCAATCTTTTTTCTAGCCTCCTTTCAATCCTCCTTTTTGTATCTGCCTTTCTTTTCTCCTTTCATCCTATCCTCCTTTCTTCTATTCTCCTTTATTTCTAGCCTCTTTTCTTTCTATCCTTCTTTCTCTCTCCCTCCCTTTCTCTCTCTCTCCCCCTCTGTCTCTCTTTTTGTCTCTCTCTTTGTCTCATTCTGTGTTTCTTCTCTGCCTCTGTCTCTATCCCTGTCTCGCTCTCTGTGTCTCTCTCTGTCTCTCAGTGTCTCTCTCTCCCTCTCTTCGTGTCCCCTCTCTCTCTCTCTTTCTCTCCGTCTCTCTCTCTTGCTGTGTCACCTTTCTCTCTTTCTCTCTCCCCCCCCCATTATCCTCTTGCCTCTCTATCTTAATGCCTCACTATACCCCTGCCTCTCTATCCTCCTTCTGCTCTGTGGTTTTTCCTCTTTATCTTCCTTCCTTCCTTCCTTCCTTCCTTCCGTCCTTCCTTCCTTCCTTCCTTCCTTCCTTCCTTCCCTCCTCCTCCTTCTTCTTCTTTCTATCTTTTCTTTTTCTATCTTTCCACATTTCCTTCTATCATCCTCTTTTCGATCTTAACATTCTATCCTCCTTTCTTTCTATCCTCATTTTTACTACCTCCTTTTTTACCATCCTTCTTTCTTTCTATTCTCCTTTTTACTAACATCCTTTGTTTCTATCCTCCCTTTTTACTATCGCACTTTCTATCCTCTTCATTTTCTATCACCCTTTTTTCTATCCTCCTTTTTTGATATCCCTCTTTCTTTCTGTCCTCCTTTTTCCACTATCCCCCTTTCTTTCTATTCTCCTTTTTTACTCTGTACCTTTCTTTCTGTCCTACTATAAGTCGCAGGCAACTTGATGGCACATAATAACAGCCTATATGATTTGGCAAAGCTTTCTCTAGTTCTCCATCTTGCATCTGGCCCATTAATCTACCCCCCCCCTTTTTTTTCCTGTTGTGTACCATTAAATAGGATCCAAATGGCACCAGAAGAGATTGCCCCTCCTGCTCCAGCAGAGCATCTGGTGGATTCAAACTGATCAATTTCGGGATTACAGCGCAGTTTCTTGCCACAAGGCCACCAGAGCTCCGTGTGTGTGTGTGTGTGTGTGTGTGTGTGTGTGTGTGTAGCAATCCACTTCTGAAACTTAAGCCAATAGCATGTAATTTAGCCTGCTGATTCTGGGATTTGCCAACTTACATAGCCCTGGGAGCCAGCAGCCTGCCATCTTACCTTTTGCATTTGGACTTCTCAGCCCTTTGACCATGTAAGTCAGGAAAGTTCTCAAGCTTAATGCTTGACTTTTCCACTAAGGACTTGTTATTGTCATAGCTAGCTAGGGAGCTCTGGTGGCCTAGTGCTGCAATCCCAAAGGAATGCAGTTCAAATCCACCAGCTGCTCCACAGAAAAAGGATGGACAATCACCTCCCACACAGATTAACTGCCTCTGAAAACCCACCAGAGGATCAGCTGTGTGTCAGTTCCATCTTGATGGTA